AAGAAATTAATTTTCTGATTCCTGGATACTTGGCCCGGTCTCCCTGAGTGACTTTTTAGTCACCAGCGCCCCCTGCTGACTACTGGTGAAGTGGGAAGTCAGAATTTTGAAATAGTGTCGGGTTTGAAACTGGAAAATACCCATCATTTTCAAGGTCTCTGACCTTGCGAATTGACATTATGGAGAAAGGAATATGGACCTTGTCGTAGAAAAGGCAATATAAAATAATTTAGTACCTTCTTCCCTCGCCTTGTCATCTCATTTTTCCCGTGTTTTCCTAGGAGGAAAGGCTGTGTTTTCTTTTTTTTCTTTTTTTGGTACCAGGGATCAAACTCGGGTCCTTGCGCTTGTGAGGCAGGCGCTGGAACCACTGAACTAAATCCCCAGCCCTGTGTTTTTAAATCTTTCTTTCCTAAGCCTTTTGTCTGATCACCGAAAGAAGAGAGAAAGGTAGGCTTCCCATTTTAAAAGATGATAGATGATAGATAGATGATAGATTGATTGATTGATTTTACTGTACTAGATACTGAACCCAAGACTTCACACTGCTTTACATCCTTAGCCTTTTTTTAGAATCTCACTAAATCATCCAGGCTGGCCTTGAATTTGAGATACTTCTGCCTCAGCTTCCCAAATAGCTGGGATTAGAGGGATGCATGACTGCTCCTAGACTATCTACTTTTTTCTTTTTTTATTGTTGTTTTTCTTTGTTTGTTTGTTTGGTTGGTTTGGTTTTCATTTTCATTTTTGTTTTTTGAGACAGGGTCTCACTATGTATGCCAGGCTGGCCTTGTGCTCCTGCCTCAGCCTCCTGAATGCTGGGATTACAGGCATGTGCTGCCATGTTGGCTTGCCTAGCCATGAAAAAAAACTACTTTATTTCAGTATACCTAACAGATGGTAAATTGCTTGGTTTTTTTTTGTTTTTTTTTTTTTTTTGGTACCAGGGATTGAACTCAGGTCCTTGTGCTTCCAAGGCATGCGGCAGAACCACTGGGCTAAATCCCCAGCCCAAATTGCTTGTATTTTAAGGGTATAATTGCATGGGTTGAGATGACTCCCACAATCAAGATAACGAGCGAGCCTATCACTCTGGAAAGTTCCCCCTGGCCCCTCTCCCCACTCTGGCAATCCCAAGCATCCATTGATATCCTTTCTTTCACTGTCAGTTTGCATTTTGTGTGATTTTACACAAATGGAAACAAAGTATGTTTTTATTTTGGTTTGGTTTGGCTTTGCTGGATTTGGATGTGGTTTGTGCCCAGGAGTTCGTGTGTTACCTGGGAGAGGATCATTTGAGAATAGGAAGGGACCTAGAGAACGGGGAGAGAGAGAGGGAAGGGAATAAAGAGGATTACGGTGTGCTAAGTGCATGTGCCCACTCCCTAAGATGAAAGTAAACATTATATACTGCAAACAGGTACTATTAAAACATTTTTAAAGACAGAGTTATGTCAGAGGCTTGGTTCTTACTGTGGCAATGCTGGGGTGACAGAGCTTTTAAGAGTGGGGCCTAGGGCCAGGGATTTAGCTCAGTGGTGCCACCACCTGCCTCACAAGCGCAAGGTCCCAAATTCGATCTCTGGTACCAAAATAAAAAAGAGTGGGGCCTAGTGGAAGGTGCTTAGGCAGTGGGGGGGACTTCCCTCAGAAGGGTTAAGTCATTTTCATGGGACCCAGAGTTACTTCCCACCAGAGCAAGTTATCCAGGAGAAAGCCCCACCCGGAATCTGTCTCTGGTATCCTGTCTTTCTACGCAATCCTCCCTCCTGCACTGTGCTCCAGCTGTGCTGCACCATGCCTGTGAGCCTCCAGAACTTAAATTAAATAAACCTCCTTTCTCAATGAAGTTATACTAAACCTTTTTTCTTTAAAAGTTATGCAGCCTTAGTTATTTCATTACAGTAATAGAAAACAGACAGTTATATGGTTTCTTTCAACTTGCATTATTACTTTGGGATTCATTTATGCTGTTGTATGTATTGTTTTTGATTGCTAAGTAATATTCTCTTCTACAGATTTGCTGCAATTGGTGTATCCTTCACTTGTTGATGAACATTGGGTTGTTTCGAATTTTTGGTTATTACAGATAAAGCATTCTCTTATATTCCATATTGTCCTCATTGCTTTATTTTTATTTTTGCCTTTTTATTAGTATATGTTTGTGTATTACAGATAAAACTTTTATGAACATTCATGTGCAAGTTTTGTGCACAAATATTATTTCTTTTGAGTCAATGCCTAGGACTGGAATGTCTAGATTATATACTAATGGTATATTTACTTAAAAAAAAATAACCTGCCAAATGATTTCACACAATGATTGTACTATTTTACATTCTCACCAACATTTGGTATTGCCAATCTTTTTAATTTTAATTTTTGAGTTTTCACTGTTGTCTCATTATGGTTTTAATTCAATGTGGATTTTCCCCCAATGAATGATATTTTTTGTTGTTGTTTTGTTTTGTTTTCATTTTTTTTGAGACAAGGTCTCCCTACAGAGTTCAGCCTGGTCTTGGACTCACTGTGTAGTCCAGGCTGGCCTTGAACTCATGGCAACCTTCCTGCCTCAGCCTCCCAAGTGCTGAGATTACATGGATGTGCCACCATGCTCAGCCAATGACTGATTATCTTGAGTATCTTTTCATGTACTTATTTTGAACTCTTTTTAAATTTGAATTCAAGGCCTTTGCACTGAGCTACATCCCCAGCTCTTTAAACAAAAACCAAAAAAAATTTTTTTTTAAATTTTGAGACAGGGTCTCCCTAAGTCTCAGAGTTCCTTACACTGGGTTTGAATTTGCAATCCTCCTGCCTCTCAGTTCCCAGAGTGCTGGGATTATAGATATATGCTACCATGCCCAGATATGACCTATCCATTTTTAAATACTCCACTGGTAATACTCCACTCTAAGCTCAGCAAAGGAAGACTGTTAAAGGACAGGAAATGAGTATTATTCACCAGTTGGCTTTGCAATTCTTCTTAACTGACTTGGAATTTCCACACTTGTGGGATAAAGTTACTCTTGAATTAAGAGCTCCAATACAAGGAGCTGTTCTTTTAAAAAAATGTTTGCATTAAAATGTCTGTTTGCCAGGCACAGTGGCCCAAGCCTATAACACAGGTCCTCAAGAAGCTTAGGCAGGAGGATCACAAGTTTGAGCCCAGCCTTAGCAACTTAGTGAGACACTGTCTCAAAATAAAATAAAAAGTACTGGGGATGTAGTTCAGCATTCCCTGGGTTCAATCCCCAGTACTGGAAGAAAACTAAAAAGGAAAGAAGGTGGTGGGGAGAAGCTCGCTGAGGTTGCAGCTCAGTGGTAGAGTACTTTCCTAGCGTGTTGGAGGCCTTGGGTTCAACTCCTAGTGCAAGAAAAGCAAAACAAAATAAAAGGCTATATTATTTGTAAGTTTAGGTACAGCCCTGAGTGTAGTACCCTAACCTTCTGCCCTTCATTTTCTCCCATTCTGACAAATTCTTTTCCAGGTTAAAGGTTATTTCAGAAAGCATCAGGGCAGGGCTGGGGATTTAGCTCAGCAGTGCCACCACCTGCCTCGAAAGCACAAGGTCCCCAGTTCGATCCCCAAAAAGAAAGCATCAGGCTGTGCTTTAAAGGAGGGAAACCAGGGGAAGAATTGCAGAAGTCTGAAACGGCAGCTGGGACTCCCTGTTTCATACACCCAGACCAGTGTGGCTACACATGTTGGGGGAGGGTTGTCAGAGAGCCGGGCATGAGGAGACAAGAAAGTAATAATCGATATGTGATTAGATCTTTGCATGTTCTAGATTTTAGCCCTTTGCCTGAGGATACTGGCTAAAATTTTTCCCCACTCTATGGGTTGTCTCTCCACTCTGTTTGTGATTTCTCTTGTAGTACAAAAGCTTTTTAATAGGATGAGGTCCCAGTTGATTCTTTGTAGTATTTCCCGTGTTTTGTTCATGAAGTCTTTGCCTACTCCTGTGTCCTCAACAGTTCTGCCTATTCTCTCTTCCAGCCGACTTAGTGTTTCTGTTTTAATATTTTGATCTTTGATCCATTTTGATTTTAGTTTAGTGCACGGTGAGAAATACAGGTCTAGATTTGGTCTTTGGTATGTGGAAAGCCAGTATTCCCAGCGCCACTTACTAAAGAGGCTATCCTTCCAGTGAAGTGTTTGGCCCCTTTGTCAAAGATAAGGAGGCTGAGTGTGTTTGGGTTGTTTCTGTGTCTTCTAATCTGTTCCTAACAACAAATGCTGGAGGGGCTGTGGGGAAAAGGAACCCTTCTCCACTGCTGGTAGGAGAGCACATTGGAGAAACCACTGTGGAAATCAGTGTGGAGATTCCTCAAAAGACTAGGATTAGAGGTCCCATTGGACCCAGCTATTCCTCTTCTGGGTATCTTTCCAAAAGAATTAAAAGCATCATACCACAGAGATATATATGCACGCATGTTTATAGCATATAATTTTTTTTCTAGTACTAGGATAGAACCCAGGGCCTTTGCACTGAGACACATTCCAGTTCTCAAAAAAAAAAATATTTTTTTTTGCCAGGCATGGTGGTGGATGCTTGTAATCCCCCAGCACTCAGAGGCCAAGGCAGGAGGAGTGCAGCAAGTTCAAGGCCAGCCTGGGCTACACAGTGAGTTCAAGCCAGCCTGCACTACAAAGCAAGACCCTGTCCCCAAAAAACAACAAAATAATTTTTTTTTAAATTTTGAGACAGGATCTCACTGAATTGCTCATGGTGGGTTTAAATTTGTGATCCTCCTGCCTCAGCCTCCCAGAGTGCTTAGATTATAGGCATGCAGCACCACACCCAGTTTACCATAGAATTTAGTAAATTACACACTCGATTCCTTTGTGTCAATCATTTTGTTTCTCTAATAGCCTACAAATTCCCTGAGGACAGAAAGAAGAGCTAGTAACATCTGAGCCTTCTTTCAGTGAGGTGAGCCCACTGCCTTTGTTCCATGGGACACATATATAGAAAGATTCAACATAGGCAGCAGAGGACAGTGGGGAGAATAAATAGCTTTAATAACAGATTAGTTAGGAGTCGGGATAATAGCTTCTGTCCTATCTGTGTCATTCTCCAAAGTACAATCCCCTTCACCTAAGACCCAAACAATGCCCTCTTCATTTCTGAACCAAGAAGGCCAAATATACCTTACTCACATATACTCATCAAATAGACTTTTTTCTCTAATTCTTTTTCCCTTTTTCGAGTTTCTCATGGGTAATGGTCATGTCTTTCTCTTTTAGTTCTTGCCCTTTAAAAACATCAATGCTTAAGTTCTTTACTGATCATCAGGACACTCAAAACCCCAGGCTTGTTGAGCCATCTCAGGAATAGATGGATTAGAACAATCGGTTTACTATAAATAGGACGGAGGCAATTGGTGAAGAGTCCCTCCAGAGATCTGGAATGCAAAAGCCTTGCCCAGAATCCTTATTCTATGATCATTTCAACCCTGGACTCCAGCTCATCTGACTCTGGGGATAAGTGTCATTTGGTTCACATATCTCTTAGTTGCCACTGTTTTCTTAGCAGCTCTTTGTATTCCTCCATGCCAACCTTTGTCCCCAAAACATTCCCAAATTAGTCAGGAGATTGCTCGCCTACTTACTGAATGCAAAGCCATAGAACAAACAGCCCTGAAAGAAGTGGGGCTGGGAAGGTTTCAGGGGAGAGAGGAGCTCCTGCATCTGAGGGGAAGAGGTGCAGCTTCTCTAAGTCTGGCAGGAACGCTCGGGCATCCTCCAGAGCTGCCTGAGCCGCCGCAGTAAAGTTGGGGTCACCAGAGATTGAAACATCAAAGACACAGGACTGGAAGTAAGCGTCTTCAACCGGAAGACCTTCCTTGCACAGCTGTCTGGCAGTGTCTAGGGTGATAGTTCCCCGGCGACTGCGCTCTGAGCGAGACAGTCGCTGACTCGGGGGACAGCCCCCAACACAGAGCTGCAGGTCCTGCTCAGCTGAGAAGGCCCTGGCCACATCTTCTGCTACTCTGATGGAGAAGGAGAGCTGCCCAGCCGTCTGCCGGATGACTATAGTTGTGCCAATATAGGCAGCTCGGATCTCCACATGGCTCCCAGGGTTAGCAGTTCGAATGGACAAACTTGAGCCCCCAGGACGGTCACCTCCATTGATAGAACCGTCCTCAAAGGCTGCGGGGAGATTGTCCACCTCAGCCTGGTAGACCTTCTGATCGATGCATTCCTGCATGTTCTTAAAAATGACGGTGAGCTGTGAGGGCAAGAGGGAAAACAGTTCATTCTGGGCCCAATGCATCCTCCCACCAGTCAGCCCCATACACAGGGATCTGACCCAAGGAAGGACGCAAGGTTCCTTCACGCCCAGGTGTCTCCATCCCTTCTCCTATTCCGACTCCGGTCGCCTCATCCCTAGGCCCACCCTCTATTTTTTGGTCTCAATCTCAGCAACTCCCAAGGAGAAAGAACAGCATCCCTTGTGAGACGCCCTAGCTCTCCTAGTCCCAGCTTTCTCTTCAGTGTTTTCTGCACCTGCGTGCAATTCGCAGCAAGGGAAACTGCTTTACAGTGTTTGTTAGGAGGCAGTGAAGACTCCCGAGGCAAGCGTGGTTCCGGAAGAAAGGGAAGGGGGTGGGAGGGAGTGGTCCCCGGGGGTGACCGGAGAGGAGAACTGAGCGCCTGACCTTCCGGGTGGTGGTAGCGTTGGCCCCCGAGGCCACGGGGGAGCTGGTGGCCTGGACAAAAAGGAAGTCGTTATCCAGCAGGGGCCAAGCTCCTTGGACGCGGCACGTGTGAAAGTGGTGGTGGAAGCTGCGCACGTGGGGATCCCCGAAGGAGGCGCAGTGCAAGAAGCCCGGGGAGCGTCCGTGCAGCCGGGAGAAGCGGCCCTCGTAGTCGCAGGGGTCGGGGATGGGGGGCCTGGGGCCGGCGCCCTGGAGCGCGGGGCCGCGGGGCGGGGGCGGCTCCGCGGGCCCCTGGCGCGAGCAGTTGTGCTGGATCATGAGGTCCTCGATGCCGTGCACCGCCGAGTGGAAGGCCAGGTCCCCGCGGCAGGTGCGGGCCGTGCGTCGCGTGCAGAGCTCGTAGGAGCGCAGGGCTCGGCACAGCCCGCCCGCCCCGCCGCCCCGGCTGTCGCCGCCTCTGCGGAGAGCTCCGGGGGAGCCCCCGGCCCGGAGGCTCAGGGTGGACGACACGTACTCGGCGTTGCAGCGGAGGATCTTGCACTGAGAGTGAGCTGAGGACAGAGGGAGGGACGGTGAGCGGCTCCCCAGACCCCCGCTCCACGGAGCGCGCGCCTCGCTCTCCCAAACCAACACCGGACGTCCGCTGCCCTGCACTGGCTAAGGCCCCCAGCAGTCGGCGCCCCCTTCTCTCCTCCTTCAGTCTCGCTGAAAAGGCGCCATCCCCTGATCTCTTCTCCCTGCCGACCAGAGCACTATCCCAGTGCCCTCCCCCAGGTTGAATGGAAAATACAGCTACTCGAGGCGGGCAACCGAACACGGGGCTCATACCCGCAGGTCCTCCCTCCCACGCTCACACCCCCCCCCCTGCGGCCTGCCCTCGAGCTTCCCCAGCCCTTCCCTGACCCTTCCTTACCGTGTCCACAGAGGAGCAGCAGGAGAGTGAGAGTGCTTAGGGTTGGGGGACTGCCATGGGGGGACCGGGGACCAGGGGACCGACTCGGATCCCCCATGCCTATCCAGCCAGGTCCCCCCAGGCGCCGGTTCTTCCCAGCTGATGACCTTCCTACCTAGTGAATTTTGACCAGCAGTCCTGGAAGTGACTGAAAAAAGAAATTTGGCTGGGCATGGGGAAAGAGGAGAATTGAAGATCGGGAGGGTTGGTGTGAAGAGAATCTGGGGAGATCAAGAAAAGGATGAGCAGACCGGAGACCATGAGTGTAGCTGGGGAGCCTCTGGCCCCTGCTCCTGTGTTCACGCTCAGCTCCCTTGTGCAATACCTCGAGGTGGGGGCGGAGGGGAGTTGAGTGAACTTGACGGGGGTCAGAGTCCACTGCATTGGCCCATCCTGAGCTACCGAACAGCAGATATGTTTGAAGGAGTCCTGGGGACAGTAGATCTCAGCCATCCTAGAGCTAGGATTGAAAATACTTCAGAAACGGATCTCTTGCCGTCCCTCCCATCACAGGAGACACCCTCCAGGAGCCATTCATTTCCTTTTCTCTTCTGTGTCAAAAGAACACAAAAAAGAGTAAAGATGGGATACTCATGCCCTCTAGATCATTAATCCTCAAACGGAAAGGGAGCCAGTCTCTTCCATGTGCTCCAGAGGCCTGCAGTCATAATCCTTCTACTCACAGAAAAAAGGCTGCCAACAAAGCATGTGATTCAATATTTGTTTTCTACTAAATTAACAATTCTTGTATTTTTCCAAACCTAATTGAAGAACCATTCTTTCCTTCACAAAATCAGAAGTTCCTCGTCTTTTGAGGGCACTGGCTGGAGAGAGGCTAACTCCTTACCTCCCTCCTGCCAAATTCACATCTTTTGAAGTAAGGTTATGATTAGGGAAAGGGTCCTGCAGGAGGGAGAGTAGGACAGAGGGGCTGGAGTTGTGGGACAAATCATATACACCAAGGAGTAGCCTTGGAAGCCCTTGGCAGCCCAATATGGAGAGTACTGCTGAGTAGGAGTACAGTAGAAGAATGTTAAATTTGGCCTTAATGAGAAAACTACAGAGTAGAGGGCATGGAGAACTCCTAAAACTTCGCCAGAAGTCTTGAAGTGAGGGTTAGGGTGTAGCACAGTGGAAACGTGCATGCTTATCATGCACAAGGCCCTGGGTTTGCATAAGGTCTTGGGTTTGATCCCCATCACTACCGCCAAAAGCAAACCAAAACCAAACAAAATATAGTTAAGACCACCAGAGGTGAGACAGAACATTATACTTCACATGGCCTGCAGTCAGAGATCAGGAGGAAACGAGACAGAGGACAAATGGGGATTGGGGCATCCTAACTTTTGGACCAGAGACAGCCAAGTAGGTGTCTGCAATTTTATAAAAGTTGCACCTCAGTCGGAAAGCTTTTTAAAGCAATTGCAATCTCATTTTGACTTACTGTTTCCAGAGGTCAGACATTACCCTGATATCCAATTCTCCAGCCATGGTTGCCTATTCTGTTGGCTTGTTGCAGCCAGGGGCTCCCCGGCTGTTTCTTCATGTTTCCCGCAGCTTCGGAGCCCGCACACCAGCTGCAATCTCCCTGAGGTCAGGGAGCTGGGAGGCTTGGTGTGGGGGAAGGGGGAGGACATGGCTTGCCAGAGGACTGGACAGCTGAGCGGGGGAGGGAGGTGGCTACTGAGTTGACGGTTTTAAAAATAGCTAAGTCCAAAATTCCAGGAAGGTTGGTGGCACTAGGGTATGGGAGTGGAGGCACTGGGGAGGACAGGAAGATTAGACAATGTGGAATATTAGGTGCCAAGTGTGTTTGAGGGAGACAGGCAAGTCAGATAACCAGTTCCAGCTTATAGGTCTCTGAAGTCACTGCCTACTCCAGGAAGCCCTCCAGCCTTCTCGATAATGAGCTCCTGGCCTTTAAAAGTTACAGTGGACAATTGCATATTGCCCATTTACCACCCTCGTCACTACCATATCCAACAGCCTGTGTCGTTTCTACTCATCCTATCCGAGATGAAGCTGGCTGTCCAGATCCCCCGAAGAGGTAGTGTGCAGCTCCTCCCACCTCGTCGCAGGGTATTTCAGAAACTAAAAAAGCCAGCTGTCCAGAGAAGAAACCTGAGCTTGGAGTTGTTTAGGATGAGGGGTTGTTCAGTCTCTCTAGCTCAGAATCTTGCAGCTGTCTATACCCTTGCCTCCTCCGTTTCCATTACCTTAGTTTGTACAGCAATTCCTCCCCCTCCTCTGCATCCATCACACAAAGCATATGAGCTCTGAGTTGCTGGGGAAGAAGACTAACAAAAGCAAAGAGGTGAAGAAGGGATGGAGATAAAGGTTTTTGCAGGTTACCAATCCATAGGAGAGGAGAGTTGAAGAGAGATGTTTAAAAAGATTCAAAACAATGCTTGTGTAGAAGAGCATGAACTTGTGTCTTTTAAACATTTTGCAGCCAAGGAATTTAGCCATGTAATGTTTTGTGCAACCACAGGCCTGTCTGGGCTCTCCATCTTGTAGCACTCGCCGAGAGAAATTAATGCAAGGGTACTACAGAAGTGTCACCGAGGCATCTGTACCAATCAACTCTACATTTAGTTCAGGATGTGTAGGTCCTCACAGCATTCTCCTCAGACATGCATGCTCCCCTTCCCACCACACACCCGGTACTGGGAATTGCATCCAGGGTCTTTGGTCTGAGCTACATTCCCAGTTTATTTTTATTTTTTGAGACTAAATTGTGACCCCCCTGCCTCAGCCTCCCAGCATGTTGGGATTACAGGCATGCGCCACCTTACATGACTGTAGTTTTTGTAGTATTAGCGATTGAACCCAGAAAGCACTGAGATACATCCCCAGGCCTTTTGATTTCTTTTGAGACAAGGTCTCTCTAAGATGTTCAGGCTGGCCTTGAACTTTCAAGCCTCCTACCTCAGTATCCCAAGCAGCTGGCATTACAGGTGTGTACCACCATGCCTGGGACATCCATACAGACAGACAGACATAGATTACTGACAAATTTAGTTTTTCTCTCCATTGCATGAGGCCATGTCACAGAGTTTTATTACAAAAATGCAAAATGTCCCCAACTAATCTATTCAAGTGACTTTAAAACACAATAACTTGACTGTAACATACAAAATGGAATATATTCTAATAATAAGAATAAGTGCAAAAATATTTTAAAGTATTCATATTATTGGTGGTAGTGTTAGCATTATTTCTGTGTATGTTGGCATTATTCTAGAACTACTTGGGGTGTATTGTGGGATAAAACAAATGAGTAGAGCTGGGCGTGGTGGTGCATGCCTGTAATCCCAGCACTCAGGAGGCTGAGGCAGGAGGATCACTGCAAGTTCGAGGCCAGCCTGGGCTACATAGTTCTAGGCCAGCCTGGATTGCATACTGAGACCTTGTCTCAAAAAAGGGGTGGGGCCACTGGGGAGTTAGTTCAGTGGCACAGTGACTGCCTGGCAAACACAAGGCCCTGAGTTCTATTGCTAGTACCAAAACCAACAGCAACAACAAATGAGTAATATCAGTGTTATTGAGAACCATGATTTTTTATGTGGAATAAAGAGACAATGATTTATGTTGATGAAATTAAGTTTTTAAAAACTCTATAATTCCAAATTTAAATTGCAAGAATAACTGAGTTCATGATGCATTTTAACCTAAAAAGTTTCCTAGGTTTATTCTGCAAAAGCCTAGAAACAGTGACCCCATAGCAATGAATGCCCTAGTGTCCAAGTTGAGCTATCTAAATACCTTTTTCCAACGGGACCAGGATTTCTTGAAGACACAGGTGATTCCAGGTTTGGGACAGGAATTGTCCAAGTTAAACAAGGAAACTTTCAGAAACTATTAGGATTATGTCAAAAGGATTCCAGAGGCAACTAGAATATAGTAGTTACCAGTAGCCAAAGATAAGCCAATTTAATTATCAAAATGTGTATTATGTATAATAGATTAAAACACATCTACTAAGTTTAAATCCATGAATTCACAATGATAGTTAAAAATTTAAACTTATTGATCTTTGTTGGAAAGAGCTACTGGATCAATTCATTATTTTGAAAACTACTAGTAATTGGAAAGAATCAAGTATTTATCCTGGTTTTCTTATGGGAAATATGCCTTGTGATGACAGGAAATTTTCTTTTTATAGCAGGATTGAATTTAGGACCTTGTGCTTGCAAGGCAGGTGACAGCACCACTGAGCTAAATCCCTGGCCCAGCAGTGTTCCAATAAATAAATGAAGGAAGGTCCGGGGATTTAGCTCAGTGGTTCCACCGCCTGCCTCGCAAGCACAAGGTCCTGAGTTCAATCCCCAGTACCAAAAAAAAAAAAAAATGAATAAAGGAGTAACAGAATACCAGTGTTGTGTAATTTCTAATGAATTAATGTATCTAAGTAATAAGCAAAAGTGACCATAATCCATTACAAAAAGAGAGGGAAACATTATGTCCTCCTGTTTTGAAGTGGAGTACACAACTCACCTTGCATGAAATAGTAGCCTTGCAATGCTGGGAGTGGTGGCACACATCATAATCCCAGCACTCAGGAGGCTGAGGTAGGAGGATTGCTGTGAGTTCGAGGCCAGCCTGGGCTACATAAAGAGTTCAAGACCACCCTGAATTACAGAGCGAGACCTTGTCTCAAAAAAGAAAGAAAGAAGTAGCCTTGCCAAAACAAAACAAAAAACACTTTTATCCAAATTTGAACAACCTTTAGTCTAGAGCTAACTACTAATTTGCAGGAAATACAAGAGCATCAAATGTACTTCAGTGGTGCAGATTTTGACTGTGACAATACAGGACAAATGACTTGGGTTCTTCAACAAATAAATGGAAAAAAATACGGAGAAGTAACCTATAGACTGAAAGGGATTTAAGAGACATCAAATAATTGCAGAGTGTGGACTTTATTGGGTCCTGAGTTTAAAAAGCAAGAAAATTATTATTTTTTCTGAACTTATCTGTGTGAAAATCCTGAAGACCAAAACATGAGAGTCATCATGTTTTACAGCAAGAGGGTGGCTGGGCAGACTGGCGGGTCCTTCCTCTATGCCTCCAACTCCACAGTGCCCTGACCAGTGCCAGCCATGCCCACCTGCCGCCTCAATGCAGTGGTGCCACTCCCTGCAGATATCCTGGTGGGGCAGAGAGGAGGGAACCTCACAGGTATTGAAGACCCCCCCAGCCACTGGCAATGTAGGGTGGTTCGAGATGCATCCAATCTGCTGTGTGACCTGAAGTAGTTTGCTAACCCCCTCTGGACCCAGGTGCTCCTTCCTGTAAACTGAGGGGTGGGATGGACCTCGAGCACCTGCTGCAAGTCCACAAAGCCTAGTACAACAATGAGGTCCGAGCACTGTAGATCCATGTTATCTGGGTTCAAATCCCAGGCCTAACGGTTGGAAGTTGGAGGTTCTTGTCCAGTTGACCCTTCTGTGTCACCATTTCTTCCCTTGGGGATTCTATCCATTACAGATAATCACGCATCTTCCTGGCAGTTTTCATGGGGACTACATCCATGTGTGCACCTATGAACATGCATGGGTGCTGTGTATGTAACAAATGATATCTGCCACATGAGATGCATATCATTACATCCCGGGGAGAGTTGCTGACACAGGTCAAGTGCAGATTAGGTGTTAGCTGTGATCGTTGTTGCTGGAGTTTCAGACACCTGGCCAGAAATTATGTGTTTACTTCCAAGCAAGGTGGTAGACTCAGCTTGGATAAGATTGGTGTGAATTCAGGGTGGCAAAAGCAACTTTCTCCTGCTGCCCCACAGCTTTAGTTGGCAGTTCTATGTGCTTTGCTGAAGGTTTGAAAATGTAGGATTCTTTTTCTCTTCATGTAGTTTGAGAGGAGAACAATTTCATAACCTGGAGGAGGTCCGTATAAGAATCTACCCTAAAGAAATAATCAGATATTCACACAAATATATTTGGGTACAAAGATGTTCACTGTGTCACTATTTTATTTTTCCTTTTGAGACAGGGTCTTGCCATGTTGTTTAGGCTGGTCTTGAACTCACTTTTTAGCCTAGGCTAGCCTCAAATTTGTGGTGATCCTCCTGCTTCAGCCTCCCAAGTTCTGGGATTGCAGGTGTGCACCACCATGCCCAGTTTGAAAATTATTAAATAATTGGGGAAATCTGAATGCTGATAAATATTTCCAACAGGGCTGGGGATTTAGCTCAGCAGCACAGCGCCTGCCTGGCAAGCACAAGGTTCTGAATTTGATCCCTGGTACCAAAAACAAACAAACAAAAATATTTCCAACATACTTGATGATTTGTCATAAATTATCATTAAACTTGTCTGTTAAATGCTACTTTTTTGTTTTTGGTACTGGGGATTGAACTCGGGACCTTGTGCTTGTGAGACAGGCACTGGAACCACTGAGCTAAATCCCCAGCCCAAATACTACTTTTTTAAAAGTGTGCTTATCTTTTAGAGATACATCTTGAACTATATACAGATGAAAAGATATGATATCTGGGATTTGCTTCTAAACAATCTGGGGTCAGGGAGAAGTTCATGGGGTAATAAAATAAGATTGAAACATGTACTTGATGAATATTGTGTTAGCTTTGTATCACT